GGGATTTGAACTCAGGTCCTCCTGACTTCAGGGCCAGTTCTTTATCTACTGTGCCACCTAGCTGCCCCTATATAATAGATTCTTGATGAACTCAAGCAGACTTGGGCCAACATGTGTCCACTGAAAGATCCAGGGAGAACAGAGGGGAAGATACACAAATGACCCCTGGCCAGAGTTTGGAAACAGAGGTAGAAGCAGATTGAGTATTGCAAGTTGTTGGCCAACTATAGGTATGTGGAAATATATTTATTTACTTTTAAATTTCCCTCCCACTCGTTCTCATGCCTCGAGAGTCAGCATTCCCAAGGTTTAACCATCACAGCTGCCCCTTCTCTTTCCCAGTCATGTTTGTAAAGTCTGAGTAACTTTCCATGAGCAGATCCAGATCTGGGCCAGTCCCCCTCCTCACTTCAACTCTGGCCATCACCAGGGAACATTGGATCTTTCTGTCCAGAAGGCCTGCATCCCATTCTGTTCCCCTTTAGACTAAAGCCCTCATGCTTAAGAGTTGGCTGACATCAGATTATGGGATGAAGAATTTGCTGACAACAGATTAAGAATAAAGCAATGAAAAAGATTGAGACATTAAAGATTTTTTAATCTGAGCTTAAGATGAAAGCTAAATTAATTTTTAAAAATTTCAAAGCAATATATCCCAGCTGTTGTTCAGTTGTGTCTGACTTTTTGTGCCACCACTTGGGGTTTTCTTGGCAGAGACTGACCATTTCCTTCTTCAGTTCATTTTACAGATGAGGAAACTGAGGCAAAGAAGGTGAAGTGACTTGCCAAGGGTCACACAACTAGTAATGTCTGGGGCCAGATTTTTGAATTCAGGTCTTCTTAACTCCGGGCCTGATGCTCTATCCCCTGAGCCACTTAGCTGCCTCAAAAGCAGAGGCAAAAATTGAAGTCAGAGAGAGAAAAAGAAAGCCAAGGAAGTAAAGGGACACAAGTAGACCTTACTGAAGAAGGGAAGAGCTTCAGTACTGGTAAAATGCTTCTAGCTCTGCTCTCTGATTTTCCCCAGTCTTCATGTAGAAAACTGATTTCTGTTTTTTAGAATTCAGAGAATCAAGCTACGTAGGTTGAGCACGTAATCTGAGGAATGGCCCTTGGTCATTCTTGTATCTGATTAAAGAACGGTCATGAAATGTGAAGTCTAGAACAAGGAGGGACCTTAGGCATCCTCTAGTTCAACCCCCTCATTTTACAGTTGGGGAAACTGAGGCCCAGAGGAACTAAGTGGTCCAAGATCACACAGCTAGTAAGTCTTGGAGAAGCTAAGTAGAATAGTACATAGGACACCAAACTTGGAGTCAAGAATGAGTTCTCATCCCCTTTAGCTTCTAGGCCCTATTTTCTTCAACTATAAAAGAAAGGGCCTAGAATCATGGCCCCTAAGGGTTCTTCTGGCAATTCTTGGTTCACATACTGCTGATCTAAGGGTCCTACCAGTTCTTAACCTAGGACTTGTGATCCTATGGGTCCAGGTCGTCTGGTTCCATAGCTAGTGCTTCCAGCACACCCATCAGCACACATAAAAAGAAAACTCATCCATAAAGATTGTGTGTGTGTGTGTGTGTGTGTGTGTGTGTGTGTGTGTGTGTAAAAAGGAATGGAAGGGAACTTGGCACTCCCAGCAAGAATGCAGAATTCTCTCCAGCATTCTGTACCCAGAGGACATGGCTTCAGATCCTGGCTCTGCCACTTATATTCTGAGTGTCTTTGGGCAATCACTTAACCTCTCTGGGCCTCAGTTTCCTTATCTTGAAAATGCAGGAGCTGGATTACATGACCTCTAAAGTTCCTTCCTGCTCTAAATCTGTGATCCTGAACTAGCCTATAATTGTGATTGTGAAATCATTCATGATATTTTAAGATATTTTTGACTTTACCAGGATGCATAAGATATGGTACTTTCCAAATTTATAAGACATCATTAAGAGTGCAGTTATTCTGAATGTGTATGCAGTCTACCAACTCACTGATATATGACTTTTCCAGGGCCAAGACAATGGTTTAATTTCTTAAAATACATTTTTATTAGTGTTTTTTGTCTTCCCAATATATTTCCTATATACCCCTTCCTCTGCCCCATCCTAGAGAGCGCTCATCATCTATAACAAAGAACAAAAAATAGAAGAAAAAAATACGGTTCAACAAAACCACCTCATTGAACAAATCTGACATTAGAGATGGTTTTCCACACCCTCTGAAAAATGGCTGGGGAGTGGGGAACTGCTTCTCATATCCCTTCTTTGGGGCCAAGTTTATTCATTATAATTTGGTTTGGGTTGCCTAGTTGTTGCTGTTTTTTAATGTTTCCATTTACACTGTTGTCATTCCACATGTTGTTTCCCTAGGTGCACTTACTGCATTTTGCATCAGTTCATATAAAACTTCCCATGCTTCCTCTTCACTGTCTCTTACATCCCAGTTGTGATCCGTTACTTTTGTGTAATGCAGTTTCTTTAGCCATTCCCCAGTCTGGGGGTATCAGTATTGTATGCAGTTCCTTGCTGCCACAAAAGTGCTGCTTGAGGTAGATTGGTATGTGCCAATCAATCAACAAGTCGTGATTTAAGTACCTACTGCGTGCCAAGAGACCCCAGGGATGCGAGGGATACAAGGACAAAGAATGAAACCACTCCCTCTCCCAAGTAACTTACGTTCTAATGGCAGAAAAAGAATTAGATAGACAGATAGATAAGACAGATAAGATAGATTAGATAGATAGATAGATTAGATAGATAGATAGATAGATTAGATAGATAGATAGATAGATAGATACATAGATAGATAGATACATAGATAGATAGATAGATAGATGGATGGATGGATGGATGGATGAATGGATAGATAAGTGGATGGATGGACGGATAGACAGACAGACAGATAGATAGATAGATAGATAGATAGATAGATAGATAGATAGATAGATAGATAGATAGATAGATAGATAAGATAGATAGATAGATAGATAGATAGATAGATAGATAGATAGATAGATAGATACATAGATAGATAGATAGATAGATAGATAGATAGATAGATAGATAGATAGATAGATAGATAGATAGATAGATAGATATAGATAGATAGATACATAGATAGATAGATAGATAGATAGATAGATAGATAGATAGATAGATAGATAGATAGATAGATAGATACATAGATAGATACATAGATAGATAGATAGATAGATAAGATAGATAAGATAGATAGATAAGATAGATGATAGATAGATACATAGATAGATACATAGATAGATACATAGAAAGATAGATACATAGATACATAGATAGATAGATAGATAGATAGATTAGATAGATAGATACATAGATAGATTAGATAGATAGATAAGATAGATGGATAGATAAGATAGATAAGATAGATAGATTAGATAGATAGATTAGATAGATAGATAAGATAGATAGATAAGATAGATAGATAGATAGATAGAAAGATAGATAGATAGATAGATAGATAGATAATGCATTACATATGTATGTACATACAGCAGAAGTGTAAAGTGAATCAATACAAATATATACAAATTAGTTAAATACATGGAAGTTTGGGAGGGTGGGGATCAGGAAAGGATTCCTGCAGGAGCGGATACCTTAGCTGCCTCTTCAAGGAAGAAAAGCACTTTGTGAGGCAGAAGTCAAGAGGGAGTGCATTCTAGACACATGGGATAGCCAGTACTAAGGCATGAGGTCATGTAGTGTAGGATGGAGGATAATGTCCATTGAGATTGAGTCCAAGTTACAAAGGACTTTACAAGCTAAACAGAAGAGTTTATATTTTATCCTAGGGGCAATAGGAGGCTAGTGAAGCTTAATGAGTAGGGGAGTTACACGGTGAGATCTTCACTGAAGGAAAATTGCTGTGTGGAAGTTGTTCTAGAGTGGTGATAGACTGGAGGCAGGGAGACCCATTAGGAGACCACTGAAATACTCTACGCAAAAAGCAATGAGGACCCAAACAGTGATGACAGTTGCGTGAATGGAGAGAAGCAGACAGATGTTGGAGAGATATTTCTTGGGAAGGTAGAAACAGCTGGATTTGGCAATGGGTAGGGTATGTGGGGCGAGGGAGAGTGGGGTATTTGGGGTAATAATGAAGTTAGGGACCTGGGGAATTGGGAGGATAGAAGTGCTTTGGACAGAAATAAGGGAGGTCAGAAAAGGGGAGAGTTTGTGGGGCAAGATAATGAGTTCCATTCTAGATCTGTTGAGTTCAAATGCCTTTGGAGGCATCCAGTTTGAAATGTCAGATAGGCAATTGGTGATACTGGACCAAAGTTCAAGGGGAAGACTCTGGGCTGGATATTTCAATCTTTTTGCATAGAGATGACAGCTAAACCCATATGAGCTGACCAAGTTATCAAGATAGAGTGTAGGGTATGTGGGATGATGAACCAGTGAAGAAGGCTGACTGATAAGGAGATGTCTGACAGGTAGTAGGTGAACCAGAAGAGATTAGGTTCATGAAAACCCAGAGAGACTATCTAGGAGGGTGGTCAACAGGGTTAAATACAGCAGAAATGTCAAAGAATGAGGCTTTTCTTTAGATACCTGACCTCCTTGAGGTATATTCCTTGAACAAGGTTCACTGAGTCAAAGGATCTAGACATTTTAGTCATTTGGTTAAACCAACTTACAGCTTCCCATGCAGTGCCTCAGGGTGTCCATCTTCCCACAGCCCCTCCAGCATTGATTATTTCCACTCTTTGTTGTCTTGGTCCATTTGCTAGGTGTGAGGGCAGAGCTCAGGGGTGCTTTCATGTGTATTATCATCATCATCATCATCATCATCATCATCATCATCATCATCATCATTATTATTATTATTATTATTATTATTATTATTATCATCATTATTATTGTCTTGGCGCATTCTTTCATATTCTTCTTAGCCTTCAATTGACAGTGGTTTAACTTTATTTTTCTAACATTTCATCATGGTAAAGGACAATTTTTGTCTTTTAGTAGGGATGGAGACATGAATAAAATCAATTACATGTATGCTCGCTATGTCAGAGACACCATGGAACCTCTTAATATCCCCGATGTCTATAAGGACAAGAGATTTCCCTGGACAGTAAGTAAATGGAATTTAGTCTTGAAGTGAGATGAGATTGTTTCCTACATAGCCCATATTTCTGTGTGTATTGTTGTATCGAATTGGCTGCCATGGAAAGATTCTAGGGTGAGACATGTGGTCAGTGGATTCCCTGCCCCAAGCTAGGAGGGGAATGCTTCCCTGCCTAGAACCTGTCAGCTGATTTTACGGTATCCTCCAACCCTAGGATTTGTACTTTTTAAGAATTTGTCCAAAGGGCAGCTAGATGGCGCAGTGGATTGAGCTCCAGCCTTGAAGTCAGGAGGACCTGAGTTCAAACCTGGCCTCATATACTTGACGCTTACTAGCTGTGTGACCCTTGGCAAGTCACTTGACCCCGATTGCCTCACAAAAAAAAAAGTGTGCCCAGTGCCAATCTCACCTTAGTTTAGCTTTTGGCACTAAAGGAAATAGAAATAAGGGGGAATGTGAGAAAAACATTCAGAAGAAGAAAGAAGGAAGCATTTATTAAGCACCTGCGAGGTACTGTGCTAGGCATTTTACAGTTGACCATTACAACAGCCCTGTGAGTTAGGTACTTATTATTATCCCTGTTGTTGCATTCTATGCAGCTTGAGGAAACTGAGCCAGACAGTGAAGCAACTTACCTATGATCACACAGCTAGTAATTGTCTGAAGCTGGATTGGAACTCATCTTCCTGTCTCTAGGCCCACTGCTGTCTATGAGCTGTCCCTATCCAGATTTCCACACCAGGCCTCAAACTGTTAGTTCACAAAATTATTTGTCTGATATTCTTCTCACCTTGGCCCCACACTAGCAGTTCTGCTTTTGGTATATTTGTGCGTATCTTCACTACCTTTAAAGACTGAGTTCATTACATGTGTTATTAGACCCCACAGCAAGAATACACCCCAGCAGAGCATGGGGACTCCCACGATCCACCACCTAGGAGCCACAGATATTTGTTCCATTGAGAATGGAAGTGGGCTGACTGCTGCTTTATCAAGCCAGGGCAACCACAGTGGTCTAGGTCAGCTATGTCATCTGTAAACTAGGTGAATGCTAAGGAAACCTTAAACCACCCCTGTGGTGTGGCCAGATAGTGGAATGCAGGCCTCCCTGGGCTTCCTTCTCTCTCTGGCAGTGTATAATGTCTCCAAGCACCACTCGTGGGGCTAAGCCAGTAGTAAATAGTGCACGTGGGTAGGTGCTATTAACAATTAATTACTCAGAACTGGTTTAAAATGCAGCAATGAAATGGACCAGCAGATATTCATTCTGCTATAGAAGCTCAGCGTGATATGATTTCTCAGCACATATTTATCAGTGGGCCCTTCAGTCATTTGTATATTATGTCCTGATGAGAGCCCTAGGTGATAACAGGAAAATATTGGGGGACATAATCACTTTTACAGACACTAATCATTGACTTGATTTCTCTGGTCTATTGCCATCTTGTCTGTGTATGTGTATGTGTATGTGTGTTTTTTCAATAGAGTGAAAACACAGACAGCTTTCACCAGCCCATTAGAAGTTTGCTTTGCACACCTATAAAAAATGGAAAGAAGAACAAAGTGATAGGTAATGGCTTTTGTTTTCCCTTTGGTCCTTCCCTTACAGCGTAAATCCCCAAATCTTGCTTGTTCTGATCCATGTCAGACTCCACTGACCCCCCTCCCCAATCAGGCCAAGTATTGACCCAAGCAGATCCTCCCGAGGCAGGCCTGTGACTCCCATCTGGGTGCCTGGCTGAGAATGAGCTTAGCTGACTTCAGAGACGTTCCTTCCTCACCATGCTGGTCTCCCAGCAGGGAGTTTTTCAGCCACATCCACTCAGGGTTGGTTCATGGGAGGAGGAGCGGTCCCATCTCCCAAATCTCACATGGCTCCTTGAACTAGTGAGGTGCTGGTGCCAGGAAAAGCTGCTTTCCTGCGTCTTAGTGTGTCCCACCAGAGCTGGTGTGGCATGCCTGCGCTCAGTGTCCGTGATGTTACAAGCAGTGCTGCATAGTGGATAGAGCATGGGGCAGAGTGTCCAAAAATCTAGGTTCAAATCCCTACTCTCATGAATGAATAAGCATTTAGGTGCTAACTATGTAAAAATCAACAAACAAATAAATAAGACAGTCTTTGCCCTCAGGGAGCTTACATTCTAATAGAGAAAGAAAGGGGACCTAGAGTTGGGGGTGGGGGGAGAGACAGACAGACAGACCCAGAGAGAGAGATACAGAGAGAGAGAGAGAGAAAGAGACAGAAAGAGAGATACAGAGACAGAGAGACAGAGAGGAGGAGATGGCTGGAAAGTCAGGTAGTAACCAGTTTTTTTCACATAATCTTGTTTCTGTATTTATCCCTACACAGTGAGCCATCACATATAACCCAAAATAAGAAGAGGAAAAAAAAAAAGAATTCCACAGAAGTAACTGGCCCAGTCACTGAGCCTGTCAGGGATCCAGTCTTCTACACCTACAGTCTGCCAGCCTTCACCGAGAAGGGAGGGAGATGCGTTTTCTTGTCTCTTCCTCAGGGCCAAGCTTGGAGGCTGAGAGGTTTCCAGACCATGCGACCTGCACTCTGTATTTCCTCTCCTGCCCACCCCAGAACTCAGTCTCTGCCCCAGGATCTGTCTCCCTCCCAGAATTGCTGAATTTTTTTTTCTTCGCTTATTTTGGGTTATGAGTGATGGCTCATTGGGTAGGAATAAATGCAGAAATGAAGGTCTTATAAAAAGAAAATATATTTTAAAATGTATAAACAATTGAAAAGATACCTACTAAGGTATAGATGGGTTGTGGATTAGTCCTTTTGTGAAAAAACACTTTCAGAGGCAGACTGAGCATCACAGAGAGAGACAGAGAGAGATTTCATGACTGTCCTAGGAACACTCGTTTTTTCTCTTCCATAGTAATTTTGTCAGAGCCTCCTCTGTAACTTCTACCGGTTTTTCTGAGTTCTTGCCCTCTGGGACCAAATAGAGGAGTTCTCCCTACAGCTCATTTCTATTATGAGCATAGCTAAACCCCATTTAACAAGTAGAGAAACCAAGTCCAGTGTGAGTTATGTAACACTGGAAAGTCCCTAATACTCTTTGTGTCTCAGTTTCCTCTTCTATAAAGTGAGTAGGACTAGATAGTGCTTCCAGTTCTAAACCACTGATTCTATGTGTTGGGTTTCCTACAGTCTCAATCCTGCTCTTTCAGCATCGGAAAGATGTCGTACTGTCTTTCACAGGCTTTTTCCATTGGTGTGGTGAACTCTCCTACATGAAGAAATGCCCTCCATGAACACTGATAGGCATCTTCTCTGTAAGCCTTTTCTTTTAAGCAAAGGGACTCAGAGTCAGTGAAAATAAGGAGTTAAAGGGTATATTAGCCTCATGGCATGATCTTCATGTGGGGAGAGAGATAGGGGACAAGACCTAGAATTTCCCTGGTGAGGACTTTCCACTTGCCTCTGCAGGGCAGCACTGTCTATAATGTTAGGGTTAGCTGGAGCACCTGGAGGTCAAGTGACTTATCCAGGATCATACACCCAGTGCTTGTCAGAGGAAGAACCTAAACCCAGATTCCTGGTTACAAAGCCAGCTCTCTATCTACTACAATTGTACTACCTCTCCAGCTCTCGTGTGTTTTCATGAATTAAATTACTAGGGATTTTTAATCTTCTTTTAAGGAAAAAAAATGCAGTATGAAAATGTCCTTTGAATGTAAACTTTGTTGTTCAGTAGTTTCAGTCATATCTGATTCTTTGTGACCCCATTTGGCTGTTTTTTTGGCAAGGATGCTGGAGTGATTTGCCATTTCCTTCTCCAGCTCATTTTACTGATGAGGAAACTGAGGCAAACAGGGTTAAGTGACTTGCCTAGGGTCACGCAAATAGTAAGTGTCTGAAACCAGATTTGAACTCAAAAAGATGGGTCTTCCTGACTCCAGGCCCAGCACTCTATCTGCTGTGCCACCTAGCTGCCCTGAATATAAACTAATACTTCTAATTTGATAGTTGGCAGTCTTCCAAAACAAAGTTTGGGATTATTTTTAAAGGCATTCATTCCATATGAATACCATGCTAATTCACTTAGGGAAGCCTCTTGCATGAAAGAATATAGTCCCAGAGAGAGAAACCTCTGCAAATTAGTGAATAAGTAAGACCTGCTTCAGTTTAAGTGCCTTTTCTATTTCCACACAGTAAATGTCAGACGTAGGAGTCAAACATCTTCCTAATTCCACATCCAGCACTTTGCCCATTGCTTGTTGGTACCTCTTGGCATGTGCCAAGTGGGCATTAGCATAGAATTGTAACATGGGGTCTCCATGGAATTGCTGGCAGAAACACTGGGTGACTGGGGTTTTCTGTACCTCTCTCTCTTCCCCTGGTTCTTTTCACTCCTGACAGATATAACAACAACATCAATCTGGCATTTATATAGAGCATTAAGACTTACAAAGTGCTTTATAAATATCGCATTTTGTCCTCATAATGACCCAGAGAGGTAGTTGCTATTATTATCCCCATTTTACAGTTGAGGAAATTGAGGCAAACAGCCGTTAAGTGGGTCCCACAGTTAATAAGTGTCTGAGGCTAGATTTGATCACAGATCTTCCTAAGTCTAGGCATAGCACTCTACGGAATGATAGTGAAGGCGTCCATCAGGCTAGCTAGTTCATGTTCTCACGTGTTGGTTCATTAGTGCTCCGCCTGAGTGGAATTGTAATTGGCCTTCCCCTTGTCTTGATCAATCCATAAGAATGCATTAGGTTCCTGCTGTGTGCACTATGCTAGGTGCTGAGATGCGGAGTGCTGCAGGAAATCTCTGTCCTGTTTCACATTCTCTTCTTCTGCTTGTGTCATGCTCTGCTTTCCCTCCTTCCTTAACTTCTTTTCTCCATTTCCCAAATGCTACTTTTCCCTATGTTGTAGTTACAAAACTTGAAGATGAAAGAAAATAGTTAGAATTGGCTCACTTCCTTGATGACCTCTGTGAGGACCGTTCACTATAGAAGCCACATTTTTCTAGTCCTCATTCACTCCCTCCTAAGATGCCTGGCCCAAAAATCTGGTACTCCCCAGTTAATACCTGAGAACATCGACCCTTTAATTAGCTGTGCCTGTAGCTCACTGGTAAGGAATAAATCCAATTTGCAGTTGAGTGCTGTACCTGGAATTTAGTTAAACTGAGGAGCAGGTCAATGGCAACAGAACATTTAGAGCTGGGATAGATGAAGCAAGAGGTCCTATCACCCAATGTGACTGAGGCCCAGAAAAGGGAGGTAACTTGTCTAAGGACACACAGTAGATGGCAGAGCCAGATATTAATTAAACCAAAGTCCTCGGACTCTGAATCTCATGCTCTTTTACATGACCCTTTGCTGCCTACTCCAAGACAGAGCACAAGAAGCTTATAAACCAGCTGCCATTATTCCTCAATTCTGTGTTAGAACTGGGTTCTTGGCCCCGTTTTCCCATTATACTTCAGGAATGTTTGCATTCCATTTTATACATTCTTATCCCATACAAATGTTAATTGCCTACTTCTGATAACTTGGTTCAGTCGTGTCCAACTCTTCGTGACCCCATGGGCCATGGCAGCTTTAACCATCACTTATTAAATGTCAATTCCATACGATGCCTTGCTAACCTCCAAGGATAGAGAATCCATGATCTCTTAAGGAAATCCATTGCACTCAAGGACAGCTCTGTTAGTTTGGAAGGTTTTTCAAGGGTAACTTCCACCCATTGGTTCGGTCTGCCTTCAGAAGCCAGGCAGAACCAGGCTAATCTCTCTTCCACATAACACTACTCTTCAGTTACTTTGAAAGAATTATTTTCACCTAGTTAAACAACTCTTTCCTTCAACTGATTCTCCTGTGGTAAGAAATTAGGACCATTCAGCAACCTGATTCCCTCCAGCCGATTCTATCCAGCTTCACAACATTAGGAAGTTTTCCCTGATTGTTAGGAAGCTTTATCTTTACCCTAGCTGACACTTTCCTCTCTAAAAGCCCCATTGCTTCTGGTTTCATCCTTGACCAGTGGACCCAAGGGAAAATGAAATATTCTTACTTTTAGTATTTATTAGTGAATACCATGTGTCTTCTTGGGAGACCAAAGGCCCAGCTCTTTAAAAACTGTGCTATAATTTCCTCTCAGCATTGGTCAGATTCACATTCTGTTTATTTCCTATAATGGGCTAAAGTGCATGAATACCCAATGGATTGAGTCCTTCTATAAAATTATTTAACAGGAGAAGGAACTGACCTCATTGCAATTAAAAGTGAAAAAAAGCCAAATGATGTCACAAAATTCTGGAGCTGGAGGTAACCTAAGGCAACTGAATATTTTAACAACAAATTATTATTATCATTGTCTTAAAATGGAAGATTCCACAGAACTGAATCCCCTTGGCCCTGGAAAATCTCTGCCCATCTGACCCTGAATCATCACATTCATCAAAAGAGGCTCTGAGCACTCTTACAATGAGCCAAAAAAGACTTCTTGGGGAAAAAAAGAGCAGAAATGTCATATCTGGCAGTGACTTTGAAGCTCTGGACCTCTCTAAATGTTCAACCCAGAAAACTGACTTT